CCCCTGTAGTGCCAGCCTCTTATCCACTGAACACTCACAGAAATACCAGGTCTGCTGTCACCAAGGAAAAAGTACACACAGCAACTTGTAGGATTCAACTCAGGTTCAGCACCTAGCTTAATATCACAGCACTCTGATATATTTATAGTGAAATCAAGGATAAGTTTATGACCCAAGATTCAAGAAATAGTAAGGATATTGGAAGAAAAAAAAAGGCAGCATGCTTTCTAGAGACTAAACTTAATTGAACAGGCTAATCTCCTGTCACCCCAAATGTCCTCTGAAGCATTTGAGTCAAGGATGGTTAAGATCCTATTTTCATGAATCTAAACACACTGCCTGTTTACTTCCTCAGTGAGGGAGGGTGAGGTGTCTTCTCTGTTCCCCAAATATAGTCCAGCAAACCTTTGAAGTGTGGCTCAAGACAAGGTTCTCTTCCCCCATTGCGTGCTCTTTGTGGTTCACTTCATATCTTTCTGTTGATTTTGTATGTAAATGTGCCTGCACTGTGTTAGCTTACAATGCTTAATTTACATGCCAACAGAGACAGAGGAATAAACATCTTTTCTGTCAGGAAAACTCTTTGCCTCTGCTGTGATACAGATGCTAAGAAATATTTTCAGTATACACCTATAACTCCTTACATAATATTTGTACCTACATTTCACAACAATATTAATGACCTGTGTGACCCTGGCTTTCATTTAAGGCATCAGATGACCTTCTTTGGTAAACCAGAATGTACATATTAGAATTAGGATATTCCTGTAACTCCCTTGCCAGTTGGCATTGAGGAGTTCTTATGTCACAACATCTGTCTGTGTTTTTGGTGTAATAAATATAGGAAAATATTTAAATTTTGTGTTATGAATTGTGTGAGTCTTGCATTCCTGATCTTCTGTGGCAGAAAATTCTACAGCTGGGTGCTTTGTCTCCAGTGAGCTTCTTCTTAGGTTCGCCAGCTTTATCATACCCATTGGCCACTGTATCCTTGGAATAGTGCAGAGGAAGAGAGGTGGCCCTTTTAGATCTCTTTCTCACCTTAATATGATTCCCATGCACAGTGTTATGGACCTGAGATGTCTCCGTTCTCCTCAGCTGTATAAGATTCCAAGACTGTCACTCTGAAGCCTTATTATGTCTGTAGAGTCAGTGAGAAGTGATGGGAACTGCTACAAGCATGCTTGCAGCTGTTTTCCTTGCATCACACTGACTTTACATTCTAGGCTTCTTTTTTTGTTCAGAATATCATCAGGTTGGTTTTGCAGCCTGCTACTGTCCAGTTTTTAAGTTCTTAGCCATTTTGACTTTACAAATTAAATCTATTAGATAGCAAGGCATGTATCTATGCCATGCCAAGAGTCCCTAGAAGACCATTGTGATACCAGAGGTAACTAAACCAATCACCACCCCCTCATACAGCTATATTGCATATAGCAGTTTAATTGGTTGTATAAGGGAGACTGCACAGATGAGGGAGACATGACCCAACTGCCAGTTTTTCAAATCCATCCACACAGCAACACAACCAGCACACACAATAACCTTAAGCACACGCAGCTTCTCACTGCAGCATATATCCGTCATTCTCTATATGTACAAATCAACACAAATCTCCAAGCACATCTCCCCCAGACACAAATCAATGCAACCACTTACACAAAAACACAGCCAGCATACACAGTAGCCCCAAACACACACAGTCCCTCACCACAGCACACACCCTTTATTTACTACCTACACAAATAAATACAAATCTTGCAATACAACACAACCACCCACACAACAACACAACCAGCACACTCTAACCCCAAACATCACTCTGAAGCCTAGAATATTGAGTAAGTGTGATGCAAAGGAAGAAGCTGCAAGCATGACTCTAAAGATTCTTTTGTTTAGAATATCACCAGATTCAATAATCACTGGGATTCATGGTCTGGTACCATCCAAATTTTAAGTTCTCAGCCATTATGAATTCATAAATTACACCTCTACAACAGTGTGGGCTTTCAGATACTAGTATAGCTATACTGGGCCTGCAGACTTAGAGATAGATTCAAGCATGTATTTCTATCATTTAGCCAGTATTGTCTTTTTTAAATGCACTCTTCTCAAAAGATAATAGTGTGATTAAATTCTGAAAACTTAACAAAGTACAAAAAGCTGATGTTTTCTATAAGCTGTTGTATTTTTATTCATTCTGTCTGCTTTATAGAGAGAGAGAGAAAGAGAGAGGGCATAATAATGAATATGTATATTTTCCAGCAGGTGCTTGCGAAATATTAAAGGAATTCTGGTTTATTTAAAAATGCAGAGATAACAATTTAATCCAGTGGTGGGCAAACTTTTTGGCTCGAGGGCCACATCTGGGTGGGACATTGCATGCAGGGCTATGAATCTAGGGCAGGGGGTTAGGGTGCAGGAGGGGTGTGGAGTGTACGAGGGGGCTCAGGGCAGGGGGTTGGGGTGTAGGGAGGGGTTCGGAGTGCAGGAGGGAGCTTGGGGTAGGGGGTTGGGGTGCAGGAGGGGTGCGGAGTGCGGCGGGGGCTCAGGGCAGGGAGTTGAGGTGCGGGGTGCAGGAGGGGTGCAGGGTGCGGGCTCCGGCCCAGCACCAATTACCTTGAGCAGCTCCAGGTGGCAGCAGTGCGCAGCGGGGCTCAAGCAGGCTGCCTGCCTGCCCTGCCCCCACGCTGCTCCCGGAAGCAGCAGGCACCACGTCCTGCGGCCCCTGGGGGAGAGGGGAGCAGAAGGCTCCGTGCACTGTCCTCGCCTGCAGGCACCGTCTCCTGCAGCAACCATTGGCCTCAGGGACATGGTGCCGGCCACTTCCAGGAGCAGCGCGGGGTCAGGGCAGGCAGGGAACCTGCCTTAGCCCCGCGGTTCCACAGGGATGGCAATCCCACAGGCTGGATCCAAAGCCCTGACAGGCCGGATCAGGCCCATGGGCCATAGTTTGCCTACCCCTCATTTAATCTTATTTCACAGTACTACAGACTAAGGCTCTCATCCTGAAAATGCTTATGTATGTGCCTAAATTCGAGCACATGAGTAGTCCCATTGAAATAAATATTCTTGAAGTTAAACAAGTGCATAAGAGCTAGCAGGATCGGGGTTTTATTTTTTGCACTGGTGTTCATATTTCTACATCACATTAAAAATATGACCATTCAATATAATAAGATTACATTATTTTTCTTAGGGCAGTAGCTGCAGCTACTAGCTATGATTATACAGTGGAATTTACTGGACTTGGGACCTCACCACCTGGAACTGAGGATGTTGGGTTTTGTACCCAAATAGGTGTGTTTGTGAGAAAATATCCAAAGAATGGTGAAACTGTTAACTCTGAGAAACACACGGAACATGCTTACAAAACTGTAAGTATCTCCGGCTCTCCCTTTACATATCCATGTAGTTTACTTTGTATAGGGATCAATAAATAACAACAAAGGGACAATTTTGTGAGACAGAATCATAAGGGTTATGTGTATACTAGAGTCGACTATTGCTACATGCTACAGTGGCTCAGCTGCAGTGCTTCAGTGTAGATCCTGCCTACGCCGACAGGAGGGGTTCACAGCCCTGAGCCATAGCTATGCTGATGTAAATTCCCAGTGTAGACCAGCTCGTACTCAAGAGCATTGAGAAAAGAATAAGCCTGTGATTATGTTTTTAAAAATACCAAACATTCAGACTGACGTTATGACTTCTTGCCTGTGGCAGGGAGATCCATGCCCAGAATCTGGTCAGCTGCCAGGGTCCCGGCAGGGAGTCGGACCCTGGGAACCAGTAGGACTCCCAGCAGGTAGTGGGAAGCTCGGGCAGCAGTCCAAGCCGGGAGCCTAGGTGGCAGCCCACCTTGGAGCAGAGACCGGGTAGCACCCTGGCTCGGGAGCCGGCTTTCTTGTCAATTTCACGACTCCAGCAGAGCCATGAAATTGACAATTATGACAGCCAACAGCCACTGTAAGGAATGCAGTGGCTACACAGACACTGCATCACCCTCATTACAATGATATAAGCCCTACGCCTCTTGTTGAGGTTGTTTTAGTATGTCGGCATAGCAGGTGAGTTACATTGGCGGGAGGAGCATTTCAGTATGTACACTGCCGCTGTTTTGTTGCCAAAAGCTGACTTTTGTGTAGTGTAGACAAGGCCCAAGTCTGTTACTGTCTGCCTTCTGCTTGTCTTTCTCACACACTCTTATCCAAAACAGTACTCAGCAATGCCTCCCACCCATATAGTTCAAATTATTGAGTGGCCTTGGATATGCCTTTGTTTTGGGCGGTGACGTTTGTGTGCTTTGTTTTGGAGACTTCTGTTGTTTCTGGGTCTGTCATAATGTTAGATATTTTGGGTTTTTGCACATTGTAAAGGTTTTCAAGGCAGTGTACCCAAGTCTTAAAGATGAAAAGTACCTACAGAATGCAGTGGTCAGTGAAGTTCTTTTCGGAGCAGACATCATTAAAAGACGACTACTGGGCAATTTCAAGTCTGAGTGGAAGGATCATAGAGATGGCCTTGAGACAAAATTCAAATTCCAGCCATTTAAATATTTCATGAGGCGTTCAAAGAACCTTCCTCTAGCTGAAACTGAAAAACTTGCTGCTGATAGAAGCACGGAGCCATTCATTGATGGAAACACAGTTTATATACCTCTGGCAAAAATCTTTTCTATTCCCAAAGTGAATCAACTTTGTGGCACCTTTGAGAAGTTAAGCAAGCTTATTGCTGGCAAAGTAGCACTGAGCAATGATGGTTCTGCTGTGATAGTCACTATCGAATATGAAAATGAAGAACAAGAGAATTAGAAAACACTTCAAACTGTGGTGACAAAGAAAACCTTGTTAGTAGATTCATGCCGATGTTATTTCTATATAGTGACTAGTTACCGCACTCACTTATAATATTTTTTTAGTTTTAAATATTTCCAGCGGGACCTAGAATTTTTGCTTGTTAAAGGCAGCACCTTTAAGGATTATAGGGCAGATTTTCAAAGGCACAAAAGGGAGCAGTTAGGCATCCAACTGCCATTGAAGGGCAATAGTTTATTTAGCCATGTTTTGTTTGCTTTCCCCTTATTTATCTCTCAAGTATCATAATTACACTCTTTTAGGTATGTTGGGAGTATATATACAGATTTCACTAGCTGTAACTGAGTCCCCGGAGACTAGTCATGTGAATGGTAGTGTAGTAGAGCACTACGGCTTCACCACCTATCTAGCTATAGGTTTCACATATTGATTCTAATGCTAAAACCTAGACAACAGTTATAATTATAGCATATGTCGCTATAAAACAAGCTGTTGGGTAAGGAGGACCAAAATGTTAATATTTTTGGTAAAATTTACCTACATTTTTTTTGTTTGTAAGTTACATTTTTTTTTTGGTTCAAAGGGTGAATGTGAAGACAGAAATGGAAATTCAGAAAGCCTATCTTATTGATCACTGTATAGTGTAGCTGGAAGAGAAATAAAAGCAGCAGGTAGAAGACATGTAGCAGGATGGGAGGGGGGAGAGAGGAGGGGGAAAAGCATAAATTTGGACTAATACAGAAGTAAAAATATTCCTGTAGAATCAGCCACTAATGGAGAGATGGGCATAGCCATTGTACCAGTTCTTATATGTTTTCTTTCTCCTTCCCTTTTTTGGTCATCTTATTGTAGCAGCACTGATCCCATGGACATAACTTGATGGAAACATAGGGATGTGTCCTCCTCTGTACCTGTGTAAGGCCCATTAACGTGAGAGTCTCACAACTTTAGGTGGTGTTTATTAAAAAAAACACTTTTCATGGATGTCATTGCAACCCAGAGCACAGTTTTAGGCTTGGAGAAAGTCAAATGCTTCTTCTAGGTTAATGGGAAAAGTGGTACAGCTAGTTAGTTCGTGGTGGCAGGAGAAGTTCAATGAGAATAATCTGATGGGAAAGTAGTAGGCATTAAAATATAAAAGTACTGTATTTCTAAATAAAATGTGTTCCCACCGTTTTCTGTTAAATATCTCTGACTTCTGTTTATTTTATTAAAGATTTTAAAACTTCCTAGAGCTGCTTTAAGGAAAAATTACCCTCAAAGTAATAAGTAATTGTTCCCTAAAAATACATGCTATTCCTAATACTTCCAATAGAAATAGAAGGCTGTGCAATACCTGTGATAGTGGAGCTGTGTGATTTAGGCCATGGAGATGATTCTACTAGAAAGAGCTGGCCAGCCTGCCTTATGCAAGGATATATCACACATATAAATGTGTAGTAAACAAACAACTAACTATTTATTCATCTCCAAGAACTAAAACTGTTATGTATGCACAAGAATAGCATGTTCACACATGTTGCAAAATTTCCCCCTCAATTTTCTCCGTTGTCCAAGGTAAGTAATATTTTTGATGTGACTAGGTCAAGCCACATGGTTTTCTTTTGTTAATATCTGATAAATGCTAAAATGTTTCTCATGGGTAATGCATAATTAACTAGTGAACAGGCCTCACTCTTTGGATGCTCCCACTGATATCACTGGCAGATTTCGGGGGGGGGGGGGCAAATGCTGCAGGATCAGGCCTAACGTTTGTGAGATATTTACAAAAATGTAAAGCAGTTCTGTGTAAAGACTAGTGTCGTAGAGGATGACCTTTGCTCCACCTTCAGAATCTGTGGGTGGGGAGGCTCCTGTCTCTTCTGGCCCTCCTTCAACTCTCAAATCATTCATGGTGAAAGACCAGACAGAAAAGGGGGGCAGTAACTTAGAGCAGAGGGCTAGGTTCAGAATCTACAAGTAGGATGAGTTTCTCTGAAAGAGACAAATGCTTTGAAGCATTCCACCTCCCTCCAAATGCTTTTATAACTTCTTGATACTTTTACTTTGTTTTGTGTAGAATTTTTTCATCCCTGAAAGAAAAGCTATGCTTACTAAACGTTAACTTGTAATCAAAACTATTTAGAACTACTTCCTCGGTGGTTTATTTTTTTTGGCTGCACAGTTATCTTGTAAAATGCCTTAAACGTTACACATGTGAACTTCAAAGCTTGTAAATAAACTGTTCTTTGGCTAATAATGAGCCTGTTTAATTAGTGCAGAGTTCAGTACCATTAGCTTGGCCATTTTTTTTTGAAGATATCCCTGCAACTCAGTCGTGTACTGTAAGGCACATTTAGCAGTTACTATATCTGTTAAGGTTTTTTGTCCCCCGCCCCCTTCCTTCCTTCCCCACTCTGTTTTTTCTTGTTGGTATTTCTTTATTTAGTGTACTTTGTAGCCTAGTCATTTAAAATAAGGAACAGGTGGTTCTGGCAGAATTGGAACAACATTTGCCTTGAATATTATGTTACATTACAACTAATTATAGGGGTGCTTATAGAAACACTTACTTTTCTTGGAAAGATCAGACCCTTAACATTTTGTTCTGTAAACCCAGTTGGAAATTGGTCTTTGTGAATAGTGGGTTGGCTACCTTTATCCCAAAGGATTTATAATATCCTCCAAAAAACTCAACTTACACAGAGCAGCATTGATTAGTTTTTCCTTCTATAATCTTGACTGTTAGGACTTAGTACTGGATGTTAACATCTTAAAGGGAGAAGAAGGAATCCAAGAATAAATAAATTGTGCTTCTGTGATGCCTTTCATGGGAAGACAAACCACCTCATAAATGTTAAGACATATAAATCCCAGTGAGGTAGGTAGGTAAGCTTCTTTGTAAAAGTGTTCAGAGTCATGGTGAAGTCATGTGACTTGCCCAAGCTATTACAGCAAATCAGTGATAGCCTAAACCATGGTTCTATGTCTACAATACCACTTATGTGACTTAGGAGTGTGATATGTCACTCAGGGGGGTGGCTTAAGTTACACTGATGTAAGGACTGGTGTGGATTGTGCTATGTTGGCAAGAGAGCTTCTCCCTCCGACAATGCTACCACTGCTCGTTCATCATCATCATCATCACGTTCCTATTACGCCTCTGGTGTTTAGGGCAGTGACGAAGCTCCTCCACTCCTGTCTGTTTCTGGCATGTCTTTCAGTGGTTCCCCAGCTGTGCCCCAGGTTTTTCAGCTCAGCTTCCACAGCTCTTCGCCATGTTGTTTTCGGGAGGCCTCATTTTCGCTTGCCTACAGGTGTCCATCTTATTGGTACTCTGTTGATGGAATCAGTTTCCATCCGAAACACATGGCCAATCCATTTCCAATGGCTCCTGGCAATGATAGTGCTCAGATCCTCTTGGCTGCACTGGGTCAAGAGATCTTGGTTTGAGATTGTTCTGGGCCAAAAGATACAGAGGATTTTTCTGAGGCAGCTTATATGAAATGAAGACAGTTTGGACATGTCATACTTTATAGTGTAGAATGCTGGGGAATGAGAAAGTAGTGTTGAAAGTACGCAGCTCTGATAAATCTTGAGTTTGGTTTTGGTGTTGTATTTTGATGATTTCTAGACCGTATTTAAGCTCCTGATGGTGGTCCTGGCTTTACTGATTTTGTTCCGGATGTCCTGGCTTGTTCCACCGTCCTGGCTGATGGTGTTGCCCAAGGAGGTGAACGTTTCTACATTGGTGAGAACATAATCCTCTATCCGTACTGGTGATGGTGAGGCAATATTAAAGGTCATGATATCTGTCTTATTGCGGTTGATTTTCAGTCCAATTTGCTGGCTGAATGTGTTGAGTCTAGTTGTTTTTTCTTGTATATGGTGTTAGATATATGATAGGAGAGCGACATCATCTGGAAAGTCCAGGTCTTCAAGGGATGAGAAGAGCATCCATTTAATGCCTCTTGGCATGTCTTCTGTTGTATGCTGCATTACCCAGTCAATGGCAATGTTGAAGAAGATTGCAGACATGACACACCCCTGACGTGTTCCTGTTTTGACTTCAAAACTGAGCTCACTGATCAACACTGCATGTAAAGTTGAAATAGAAGCTTTTGATGACGTTGATTCTATGGAAAGGAATTCCATATGCCCGCAGAATGTGCCATAGGCTGGTCCCGTGAATGCTATCAAAAGCCTTCTCAAAGTCTATGAAATGTATGTAGAGTTGCCGTTGCCATTCTAAGCACTGTTCTGTTATGTTTCATAGAGTGTAGATCTATCTGTTCTGTGCATCCACGCCCTTTCTGAAAACCAGCTTGCTCTTTTCTGAGAACGCTATCAACTGCCTCTGATATACGCTGGACTATGATCTTACACAATATTTTGCTTGGCATAGATAAAAGTTTGATACCACACCAGTTATAACAGAGTTCCTTTCTTTGGTATCTTCACTATAACCCCATTAGTCCACTCATCTGGCACTTTTTCCCTTTCCCAGACTGATGTAAATAGAGGCGCCAGGATAGATGCTGCTAATTTAGGATTTACCTTGAACAATTCTGCATTCAAGTTATCCTTGCCTGGAGCTTTCCCATTTTTTAAGGATTTAATGACTTGAATGATCTCTTCCTTAGTTGGGATGTCTGCATTGATATTAAGATCTTCTTCTGCCTCCTGGATGTTTGCTTCCTTTTAGGTGGCTCCCTGTTCAGCAATTCTTTGAAATCTCTGTCCAGCACATTTCTTGTTCTTTTTCAGTTGTTAGTAGCTGTCCTTGTTTGTTCTTGATGAGTGTTTGTTGGTGTCTTCCGTTTACCGCTGATAAGCCATGTCATTTTGTAGACTGTTCCTCGTTCACCACAAGCAGCTGCATCCTCTGCTTGTGTTGCCAGATTATCAATATAATGCCGTTTGACCTCCCAGTGTGCCTTGCTGTACTGCTCGTGGTATTTGTCCTTTAACTTCTGGGATTTTGTGTCTAAAACTTTTTTCTTCAGGGCTCATCTGGTTTCTATGGCATTCCATGTGCCGGGTGTAATCCACTCCTTCCTTTTCTTCTGCTTGTAGCCTAGACAGGCTTCACTGCTCTGTTTATAAATTGCTGTTACTTTGTCCCACTTCTTGTTGATCTCCTCATCTGCATTCCCCTCCTCTTCATCAAGGTCTGCAAGTGCTTGAAACCTGTTCTTTAACTGCAGAATGAAGGCTTTCTGTATTTCATGGGACTTTAGCTTGTCAATATCATAATGTCTATGTCCCTTGTTTGGTGGTCCCACACTTCTCTGTTTTAGCTTGATGGAGGCTGTCACAAGGTGGTGGTTGGTGCCAACATCTGCACCCCTTCTCACTTTCACATCTGTCAGTGAGCGTCCCCATTTGCCATTGATCATGATATGATCAATCTGGTTCTTATCTCTGCCATTTGGAGAACACCATGTCAGCTTGTGAATTTCACGATGTTCAAATAGGGTTCCACCGCTGACTAGGTCATTCATATTACAGAAATCAACAAGCCTTTCTCCATTTTCATCAGAGTGCCACACCCATGTCTTCCCATTGCTCTGTCATTTTTTGTGTTGTCCTTACTGACCTTGGCATTCGGGTCTCCCATGACGATAGTTAGGTTGTGGCGTGGTACTCTCTCTAACGCTGCTTGTAGTGTAAGGTAGAATTTGTCCTTTACTTCTTCATCACGGTCATTTGTTGGAGCATAACACTGAAACAGGGTGATATTATTGTGTTTCCCTTTCAGTCTGGCTCTCATGAGTCTGCTGCTGATAGATTTCCATTAAAGCAGGGAATGCTCCACTCCCTTCTTCAAAAGGATGGCAACACCCTCATGGTGTTGTCCTTCATCCCATCCAGAAAACAGCAAAGTTTCTCCCGAGGCTGCTGTTAATCTTCCTGATCCCGTCCATCTGCTCTCGCTGACACCCAGGATGTGTAAGCTGTAGCTTCTCATCTCTGCTGTGACCTGAGCTAGCTTCCCTGCTTCGTTAAGGGTGGATTAATTAAGTCAACAGGAGAGCTCTCACTGGAGTGCAGCCATAGTCTTATATTAATTTAGCTTAAGTTGGTAATTTACTGATTTGAGTTAAACTGACATAAGCAAAGGTTAAACTGATTCAGGTAGGTCTACATTATGGGATTTGTACTGGTTTAACCAGAGCAATTTTTAAATTAAACTAGTGTAGTTCTCT